TATGGTTGGGTCCTTCCGCCAGGATATGTGTTTGTGATGCCTCGATTGCACCCAAAAGGCTCAATTGCCTGCTCTGGCAATTGGTGGAGGCGCTGTTTGAGCATGCCCGCCTGCCGCCGCAAGTTACCAGGGGGATTTGCCGACGAATGCGTCGCCCAAGTGCGTACTTGTGCGTTCCTTGTTATGGTCGAGGGCATCCACTCAGCGTTTTCGCATATGTCATAGCAGTGGGCCCTTTTCTACACCAGGCCACGCGGGTGCCCGGACTGTGACATGTGTTTTTTGACGACTGGCATATTGAGTTCGACGGTGTCGTTACCACCGCTGCCGTGATGGATCTTGGCGTTTTTTTTGAAGAGGCCTCCGGACAGCTCACCAACAAAAGCAAAACAGCATGGATGCCAAATGGTGCGCTTACATCGGAGGACTTCCAATGGTTATGTGGCCTTTTTGAGAACCCCTATATCGTGCGTCGGCAGAAATCGCTTAGCTGCGTAATGGAGACCCTGACCAAATTATGCCAGCGGCTGTCAATTCTGAGGCAGGTGAAAACTTGGCCTCGGCACCCGGCTTCTCGCTTGTAGCGTTTTTGCTTTTCCTTCGGATTCGTACGTAATTAAAACAATTTGCTCCAGCGAGTTCACGTTGGGCGAGATACGAGCTTTGGCACAATCTTTTTTTGAACGCGTGAGTTGGTGCCCTTTTCAAGTTTTCTGCGACGCCAGGGGGTTGTTCCGAGCTTTAGTTGAAGCCGCAGACCCGTTTCTGGCGAACACTGCCACGTTGTTGTCCGCCGCATTTCGGCTAGAGAGCGCGGGGTGCATCGACCAACAGCAGATCGATGCGTGCACGGGGGGCCTTGTTTCTCCAACCGCCAGAAGAAGTCTGCGCCCACTCTCTGGCTATGCGCGAGCCTTCCGGTCGTTTCTGATGGTCACTGGGCACACAGTCTCTGAGGTTTTGAGCGATCGTGTACGTTCGGGCAGCGGCTGGTCCAGGGAGGCAGGAGTGCATCGGCATTTGCACCGCTGTATGCGCCAAGCCGAGGCCCCCGGAGCTGCAAATGCGGATGCGACTTCAAACTCGCAGTCTCTCTTGGGACCTTGTGGGCCAAACCTTGAGAAGAACGCCGTCAGACGCTCCCGGGGAGCATCGTCTTGCGGTCGTGCGGAGACTCTTAAAAGGGAAGCTCACGTCACACAGGCTGGCGCCTGCGCTCGAGCAGGCGGTACTGCCGTGTCCTGTTTGCGGCGCTGCAGACGAGGATTCGGTGAGCCACAGGGATGTTTGCCCTGAGACTGCAGCAATCCAGGACCGCTTTCCGAACCCCTACGCTAGCCTCGCGGCCCGCGAGATGTGGCTCCAAGCCAGTCTTCCAAGCGCCTCTGTTCTACGGTGCGCCTTGACTTTCACAAGCGCAGTCGCGCGCTTGCGGCGCCTGCTCCTCGATGAGAGGCGCTTCCATTCCTTTGATGACATGGTCTTGCATGCAAAATGGTTGTGCAATGACCCGTGGATCACAGGAAGCCCATTCGCCAAGACCCGCAAGGAACGCCGTAGGATGCGCACGCACGCACTTGTTTCTGCATCGGATGGCGTTGTTTATGCACCTGGCGCTGCAGCGCGCAACCTGGGCACAGCACAGGCGAGACAGTCCTCAGATGGCTTCGTTCGCTATGCGGTTGGGGCCCGCTGCGTTGACGCCTGCTGTGGCGGCGTGCTAGGGGATGCGACCAACAACCGAGCGGGGTACTCGGGCCTTCTCGAGAGCATGCTGCATGCTTTGGAATGCCCGCCGAACCATATTGTTTTCCATGCCGACTCTTCGTTGGTGGTGAAACAGGTCAACGGGGCTCGGCGATGCCCGGATCGCGATCTCCAGTCGCTATATGAGCGCGCTCTGGACTTGCCCCGACGCCTCAGAGATTTGCCATATGTGCAATCCGTTCACATATGGCACATACGTCGGGAGTGCAATGCGGACGCCGACGGTGTAACTATGCAATGAAGTATTGGACGCGATCTCATCGGGCATTCCTCCCACTATTCAGAATTGCCACTTATGCAACAACTGGAGGCCGTATAGGCGTGCTCCGTAAAGGCTTGCCAAGCGTTCCTGCCACATCTCGTCGCCTGGCTGGTGTCAGGGTGCCGGTTGGCTGGACATGTGCCGCTCACCTCCCTGACTGGCGCCCCCCACTGGCTTCCATTCCCTTGCGTTTCTGGTCTCGGCGCCGGCCAGTTTGCGGATAGATGTTGCATCAATGTTTGATTTTCCCGAAAACATTTGGGAGCCGTCCCCGCCTTAAGGCCCGCAGCTTCAGCTTCTTTCTGCAGCACAAGCCATTCGCCGTCGGGCACGCATTCGATTCCTCGAACAATCGATCAGCCGCCGGAGGCGGTTGCATTTGAAGAGCCTTTTATTCCACAAGACGGATCCGTTTTGGAACGCCGTTCCGTTTTCTGCCCGGCCCCACCCTTCTGCCAGGGACGCATGCGGGGGGTGCGTGCCATGGAGGCCGTCCTCCAGCCTCCGGGCCTGACGCGCGCCCGTCGCCCTGGCAACGCGAAGGCGGCCAGGAGCGATGATCGCAGGCTCGTTCTCCCTCCGGTCTGGGTCAGAGGCTGCGGCTCGCAGGCCAGAGGGAATTCGAGTCGCACTTGGGCCCTCGCACCCCTGGCGCGCCCTCGGGCTTCTACAGGAGGTCAAAGATTCCTCCCACCAGGATCTCCACATGGGGGGGGGCCAGGGGAGGCGTCTCACCGGTCCGTCGGCGGTTCGGAACAGTCCAGAATCGACTCACTATGGTGTTCTGGCTCGGTCTGGTCCAAACATGAGAGTCAATATGGCGTTCTGGCTCAGTTTTGTCCAGATATGAAGCTCATTGTCATGTTCTGCCTCGATTTCAACCCTCAAAGTCCATACATGAGGCTCAGTATGGCATTCTGGTTCGATCTGGTCAAGGAATGCGAATCACTATCGAATGGCCTTCGGCCTATCCCGCCACCCTGCCTGGGTTGTGGGGATAAAGCCCAGTGGATGTTCGTTGGGATCTCGCGGGAGGCTTCTCGGGGGCCTCTTTGGGGGCCGTTTGGGGGCCTTTTTGGGGATCTCTTTTGGGCCTCTTCGCGGCTCCTGGGGCGTCTTCGGGGCTTCTTCGGGGCCTCTTGGGGGCCTCTTCGGGGGCCTCTTGGGGCCTCCTGGGCGCCTCTTTGGGCCTTCTGAGGGCCTCTCGGGGCTGTGGGTTCGGATTTCCGGTTCCTGTTTCCTCTTTTGGGCCCTATTGGGGCCCTCTTGGGCCGTTTTGGGCGCCTCTTGGGCTTTCTTGGAGCCCTCCTGGGCCGTTTTGGGGCCTTCTTGGAGGCCTCTCAGGCCGTCTTGGGTGGGTCTTGAGTCTTGGGTGTCTCTAGGACCTTCTGGGAGCGTCGGGAAGCCGAAAAGGCGAGAACGTCAAAATCTGTCAAAACCTAAGGGGAATCAGTGATGTTGGCCTCTTGGGGCACTCTTGGGAGGGAGGCCTCCTGGAGGCCTCTTCGAGCGTCTTGGAGGCTTCTTGGGCTGTCTGGAGGCCATCTTGAGCGACTCGGAGCGATCGTTTGGCGACTCGGGGCCTCCTTAGACCGTCTTGGGAGCTTCTCGGGGCCCTGTTGGCCAGTCTTAGGTTTTTTGGGGGCCCGAAAAAGTCACGCGACAAGATGCGCCAAGGTCCAAGGGATCCGCGCCAAACCCCGGAGATTTGTGAATTTGGGCCCCAGGGCCTCATGAAACTCCGTAGGACTAGGGGCTCAGGCTCAGGTGATTGGCCAAAGGACCCGAGGACACGCCCACTCCGTGCCCAGAGGCACGGTGGCGGATTGTGTTCCAGCTCGATTCCGATTTAAATATTCTTATCACCTGAATTTCCACAGAGGGGGGCCGAGCGTTCTGGCTCGATTCCAGCCCTCGCAAATCCAGAACTGAGATTCACTCTGGCCTTGGTGCTCTAGACTCTAGCAATGAGCAGCACTATGGTGTTCTGGCTCGATTCCAGCCCTCGCAGATCCAGCAATGAGGCTCGTTGCTGTGCTCTGGCTTGATTTCAGCCGTCGCAGGTCCAGGAGTTGTGGCAGGGGCGTCGGGTTCTCACCATTCCAGCTGTCCTGGGTCCAGAAACTGTTACAGGGTCATAGGCTTTTCACAATTCCAGCTGCCAGGAGTGGGGTCGCTCCGTCCGTAATGTTGTTCCAAGCGCGTTCATGTCAACATGTCGACGTCACGAACGTCACCTCCATCAGCAAGCTCAACTCCCGTAATCGTATCGGCAATACGACGAGGTCGTCCTGGCAACTCGACGTTTCAGGCGTCCATCTGTCTGCACATTCTAGCTGCCATTAGGGTGCTTTGCTGGCATACTTAGGAAGAGTGGTGTGGCGACGGACCGGAACGGAGCCGCTGGAGCCGCACACGGGCGCAGTTCCGTAGAAGAGAAGCGAACACCTTAACAACGCACATCTATAATTATATATTCGTACATCCAAATCTAGGTGTACGTATGTTTGTGTGTATGTGTGTGCGTGTGCGTTTGTTTATATGCATGTATTTTTTATGCGTGTATATACGTGTGTGTGTGCAGATGTGCTCATATATCTATGGAACGTTGTATGCCGGTGCGCAAAAACGCATGTATGTTTTGTATACGTGTGCATTTGTTTGCTGACATGTATGTATGTTTGATGTATGGTTGCATGCATGCGTGTAGACTGATATACACGTACTTAGACGTAAGTAGTATACACGTGCCAATAACACGTGTGCAATGTTTTATATATATATGCATGTGTATATAATTATGTGTATGTAGGTAGGTATGTTTACGTGCACGCATGTACATATATATATACACACCTATAGGTATGTACATATCGTGTCTTCGATTGCGAGGTACCTTGCCCACTCCCGCCTCGCGTCTGCCGTTCGTAAGCGCCGCTTTGGGCAGATGTCCCCGCCACTCCTTTGCCAGGACTGCCGAGCCAAGATCTGGCGGAGGCGCGCGGACAGGGCTGCCAGGAGACGGGCGGGACGGGAGGAAGGCGAAGGGTCGGGTTGTTCGACTGTTTCTTTTCCTTTTCGGGCATCCTGTGGCCTCCAGGCCCTTCGGGGGTCTCCAGACACTTCCGCCGACTTCTGAGAGGAACATGAGGGAGGTGGCGGTGGCGGAGTTGGAACAGAGGAGGCAAGGGTGAAAGACCTGGATAGAGGGGGAGACACAGAGGGTCTTCGTAGACGGGAGGGGGAGATGCGGCGACGATGACGACGGCGACGCCCACGCCAGAGCCGATGTTGCCGACTACGGCGACGCCGACGCCGATGCCGACGCCGACGCCGATGCCGACGCCGACGCCGCCGACGACGACGACGACCCCAGAAGTCCTGGCCTCCACGGCCCCCCGGGGGGCCACCGCCGCGGACGACGACGACGACGACGACGACGACGACGACAGCGGCGGCGACGACGACGACGACGTCGACGCCGATGAGGACGACGACGGTGGTGGCGGCGGCAGCTGCGACGATGACTACGACGACGTCGACGACGTCGACGACGCAACCCTCGAGTAGAAGCTTTGCAACCCTCGAGCTCTCGAATCCTCGAGCCTCGTCGGCGGGCGGCGGCGCCGGCCAGGCCGCGCTCGCGAAGACCAGGATCGAGGAGCTGATGGCGAGGCCCGCCAGCCCGGTCCCGCCAGCAAATGGCCGGCCCGCGCCCACGGCTCCCCCCTCCCCCTCGGCTCCTGCCCCGCAGCCACAGCCCGAGTCAGGAGACTCGGACTAGCAGCGGCCTGCACCTCGGGCGCGAGTCCGCGCCCACCTTCGTTGCTCCGAGGCCCAGTCGGGATTTCCTTCTGCGCCCTCGGCCATTGCTCCATTGCTCCTCCTCCTCCTCCTCCTCCTCCTCCTCTTCCTCCTCCTCCTCCTCCTCCTCCTCCTCCTCCTCCCCCCCGCCGGGTCCGTAGCCATTTTGGCTCAAGATGATTTTGCCCCGCGGCAGGAAGCGGAGACCCTTGGTCCAGGGACAGCACAGGACCACTTTTGGCCTCGTCGTGCCCACGGCGTTGGCGACCTTCATATTCTTACATATCCACGCGCTCATTTTCGTGCGGGCTGGCGCGGGCCCATCTTCTTTCTCGCAGGCATGGGAGAAGAAGCCAGGAAAACAGCATCGGTCTGTGCCGCTGACCCTCGGGCCAAGGGAGGTGATCCATGGGCCGCATCAGCCGCCAAGCTCGGAGCAGAGTCCCTTCCTGCACATGTGCGCAAACAGCTCGAAGAAATTCTTGCCACACAAGTTCAAGCAGCAGCATCGACTTTCGAATCCACGACCAAAAGTGTGTGTGTGATGCGGCCAGTGCCAAATTTCTCGAATCGGTTGCAGACATCGCAAAGGATTTCACACAGAAGAACGAGCGCACCGAGCGGGAGGTCTTCCTGGTCAAGCAGCGCATGGACAAAGCAGAGGTGGCCAACGCGGAGCTCAAGGCATCCGTTGCAAAGTTGGAGGCCATCGTATCAGAGGCCGAGGCTCGGGCACCATCGATCAACGCTACCAACATGGGCTCATGGGACAGCGAGCCCGACCCCGTCACTTTCTGGATCGGCTGCTCCGTCCCCATGGTCGAGACGGACATACGACCCGCTCTGGCAGATTGGTTCCGAGCGGCTGCGGTTACAGGAGCTCAGATCGCCTTCAACACAGCTGGACTACAACGCCGCCACTCCTTCTCCGTCACGGGCGGCACTCTGCTGGCGGAGCCCCGTGCGCGGAAGCTGTACGACAACCTCCGCGTGGGCAACGACTGGCGCGACTTCAACATCGTCGTATCTGGGACTACTTACCCTCTGTATGTTAGTGGTGACAAAAGCCCCAAGATGGTCAGGCGCGAAGTCCAGATCAAAAAGCTCGCCAAGATCCTACAAGCCAAGGCTGGCACTACCGATGTCAGGGTGCATAGGTCTGCAGGATACCTCTCAGTCAAGGGCGACGTCCTCGTGCAGATCTTGGTGGGCACGACACCCGAGCAAGCCACTGTTCTGCGTTGGGCTGCTGCTGCTGTGGCTAACAACATCGACGACACGCTGCAGAAAGACATCGCCGCCGAGTTCGCCGCCGCCTTCGCCGATCCCCTCACAGCAGCGCAGTGGCTTTGACGGCAGATGGCCCCCATGGGTGGAAAAAGCCTTCTCGCGAAGGACTGAACATCGCGTACTGGAACACTCAGGCACTGCTTGGACGCTCCGATGCACGCAGGCATACCAAGCGCCGTCATCTTCTCCCCCTCCTTCGTCAACGGGCTGTTCTGGCCTTGCAGGAGACGCGCGGCGCGTACGAGGACCTCCTGCACCTGGCCGAGTCGACCGAGCATTCCTACCTGGCCTTCCACTCACAGTTGGTGCTGAACCGCGATTCCATCAACGAGCCGCCGCTATACTCCACGACTGCAGGCGGGATTGGCTTCCTGCTGGCCTACGACAAGGCAGAGCGAACCCGCCCACCCGAAGAACGACCACTTCGTGAATTTGAAGTCATCGTTCCAGGGCGAGCGGCTTGGCTCCGAGTCACTGATGCTCAAAGGCGCCACGAATTGACCATCGTGAACATTCACAATCACGACCTCACGCCCTTGGACCGCCGAGACATCCAGCAACATCTTCAACGGCTCCGTGCTCATGCTGATGAACGTCCACATGCACGACTTCTTGTTCTGCTAGGGGACTTCAACGTGTCCGAGTTCCCGCCCAAGAGCCTTAACTCGCCCGTCGACTCTGACACCACGGCTGCTCAGCGGTACCAGTATCAACCCGTCTACTGGCGCAACCTCTTCAAGGACCTGGTCGAGATCACCACGCTGTCGACCACGCATAAGAACATTGCTACCATGTCCGAGTCCACGATTGAGCGATGCTTCATCTCGCTGCCTGCCCGTGCCATGCCGAACATGGAGACATTACTGATTGCGAACGATGCCCCCTTGGAGGGCCCGCACGGCATGGGCAGTGACCATAAGATCACGCACCTGCGTATTCGACCCAAACAACAACGCCCCCCTGCCGAACGTGGCATCCCTGCTTTCATCTTCGACTCGCCCCATTACCCCCACCACATAGACAAACTGCTGAACATGACTGGCGTCACGATGCTGCCCCCGACCACCAAGTGGAAAGTGCTCAAGACTGCCATGACCGAGGCGGCTCAGCTCGCCAGGAACACCATGTCTTCCATTGCGTCCGCCGAGTTATCGAGCCAGTCGGCACCGATCGCCAAGGAGGTACGAGCCATGACATTGCGAAGCATAGCATGGGCGATCTGGTACCAGGACACTCGCCTCGCCTCCACCATGATCGCCAACACGGACCTCGCCGCCCTCCACCTGCGCGTGCAGAACGGGAACGTGCCCCTGATCGACCCCGCGTTGTCAGACACCAACACTGCCCTCATCGAAGAGAGGAAAGCCAGGGCCGCTGCCCGCTCCCGCGCCGCCTGCGCAGAGTCGAACACCCAGCTGGGCGACCGCTGGCGGCGCAAGGCCAGGCATGAAGGACGACGTGGTGAATTGTGGAAACCCTTCTCCAAGCGCCTCATCCTGTCGGGCATCAAGATCGCGACGAACTCGGGCTCCCGCACCACCCCCGACCCCGGCTCGATGCACTCCGCCATCCTGAACCACTGGGCCCCGATCTTCTCCGCCAAGTACGTCGACGAGTCGGCCATCCACTTCTACCTGAACGGCATCTTCACTCAGCGACCTGAACGTAACCTACCGACTCCCGACGCCCACGCACTCGAACGAGCCGCCCATCTCGCTCACGATTCTGCTCCTGGACCCGATCGGCTACCATATCGTGCATGGCTTCAAACTCCGTCGGCGTTCACGGTGCTCGCCGAACTCGCCCGGGACATCGCCGACCCTGACACGGGCGCGCCACCCCTCGACATCAACTACTCGCTCATGGCCATGCTCCCCAAGGGCGACGAGCCGCTTGGCGTGGCTGAGTGCACAAGAACGCCTGACTGCCTACGGCCGCCTTCCATGAAAACAACGGACATCAAGTTGATTGCATCTGCCGCCAACCGCTCCCTCCATACTCTTGCTGCCGAAACGGCACATGAATAACAAGGGTTCGTCAATGGACGACAATTTCTACGCAACGTCGTGGTCGTTGACACCGAGGCCCGCAGGCTCAGCGTGCAGCCATCCGCCGAGAACGGCCAGCCCATCTTCATCAGCCTCGATATCGCGGCCGCGTTCCCGAGTATAGGCCACCAGTGGCTCTGGAGCGTGCTGTCTCGCTGGGGTATCTCGGGCCGCATGCTCAAGCTCCTGCGCGCGTGCTACTACATGCCGCTATCCTTCCTCGAGCTGAACGGGGTCCTGCGGGCGTCGCTCAGGGGTGTCCATTGAGCGGCACGCTGTGGGCGCTCACGTTCGACCCGTTCGTACGCTCCATCAGATCCGAGCTCCAGGCCATCCAGAGGGCTGGTCAGTGCGTGTGCAGACGACCTCGGCATCATACTTGCCCGCCTTCGAGACCTCGAGCGACTGGTACCCCACTTTGTCGCTGCTGAAACTCTCGCGGGCCTGAAGCTCCAAGCGAAGAAGTGCATCACCGTCCCCACCTGGACCCTCCCCACTGAGCCGCTGCGCCAGGAGATCCGCGCCTACTTGACCGAGATCCACCCACCTTGGCAGAACTTCAAAGTCGCGGCTATGGCTCGACATTTTGGTTTTGTGGCCAGTCCAGGCGCTGCGGTTCAGGAACAATGGAAGGCGCCAAAAAGCAAGTGGTGGGATCGCATTGAGAAGCTCTCGCTATCACACGCCCCGCTTCAAACATGCATCAAGCTGTACAACGTCGCCGCGGTCACCTGCCTCTCCTACGTCGGCCAGCTCTACGAGCCGCCGCCCACCTTGCTGTCCAAGGAGCTCCAAGCCATCCACAAATTGTTGAGGGCCGCCCCGAACTGCTTCGCCAAGACCGACATCCAAGCCATGACCTTGTGGACGAACGCCGAGACCCCGAACGGCGTCGAGACGCCCCTCGCAGCGACGATGTGGCGCACGGCCCACATCACCATCAAGAACTGGACGCACTTGCACGACGAACTCCACGAGACGGCGATGATGGAGCTCCCCATGCGCGCCGTGGTCGAGGGGCGTTGGAGTGCACCGTGCTGGCAGGACCCGACGTCTATCGTCCAGCGGCTCAAGAGCTCCCTCATGTCCACCTTCTTTGCCGAAGGGAAGGGCTCCTCGTTCAAGCGCATCGCCCGCGAGCTTGGCAACGAGTCGCGCGCCCGCACCACGCTTCATGAAGCGCATCGCCGTGCTGCTCGCCAAGGCCTTCTTGCTGCTCAGCTGGCACACCTCCCGCGCCGCCAAGCGGCCCATACTGAACGGACCTGGGTATCCAACGTGCATGGGCGCAGGGGCCTGTGGCTCGCGGGGCGCGATGATGATGATGCGCTCCGTTGGCGGAAGCGCGCCCCGCAGAAGGCGTGCCAGCTCGCGCTGCAAGAGGAGCTCTACAATGACACCATGCACATCACGATCATGCGCCGCCTCATTGCCTGGTACCCTGCCAACTTTGGACGCCAACATGCCCGCCGCCCACGCGATGAAGCCCTGGCTGAAGCGGAGGACATGCAAGATCGCCTCCAACGAAGAGCTGTTGCATGGTCCGCGCGCTGGCTCCCCGACATTTCCTCAACCTGCGGAGCATCGACAACCAGGCCGACTGGCAGAGCTGGTGCGAGAACTACGTGGGTGGCGTTCTTCTTCGAGATGAACTTCGCCTTTTGTACCAGACCGACGCCCAGAGGCTCTTCATCGCGAGAGCGATGCGCCGACAGGCATGGGAGGATGGCGCCTTCGGCCGCCGCCTCCTGGAGCTCCGCTTGCTGGGCAATGCTGGCCCCCGTGCTGAAGACATACGCGAACAATCTCGTCGCCAAGCGGAGCTGGCCGCCGAGCGCCGCGCTCGCCGACGCTGGGTCGATGCGCACCGTGCTGTCCTGCCTGACCCTGCCCCGCCTGGCGAGCCTGATCCACCTGACGCCATGGAGACGGACGACCCCGACCTCACTGGCGCGAACGCACTCTCCACCGACATGAAGGAGCGCCGGTTGCGGTTGAGGATCCACTTGGCCGAGCTCCCGCCCGCCACATTGTGGGCAGTGATGAAGACCCTCAGTGGCGGCTGGACGACCTCATACAGGATGCACGTGCTGCACGCCAAGCGGGACTGCCACTTCGGCTGCAGCAACAGGGACTCCATCGACCACTACCTTTGCTGCCCGCGCCTGATGCACCACGCGGCACTTCCTCTTGGGCTGCTGGCACCAGAACTCCTTCCTCGCCTGGGCCTGGGCGGTGCTGCGCAGTCCTTCGACGGGGAGAACGGCATCAGGAGTGCGGCTGCCCGCCTTGCGGTCTCGTGCCGCGCCTACCACATGACAGGGGATGCCGCGTCCGAGGGCCTGCTGACATACTCCAAGGTCGTGAACTACTTCACGGTCGCGCGCCACGCCCTGAGGATGCCTCCTGACCTCACTGGCGGCGCAGGCATGCGCTGCTCTGCCCCAGCTCTCCTTCCGCCTCACAACTTCGTAGACGAGCCGCGGGCGGCGCTCCGTGCCCCCACCCGCCGCGCCGAGAACAGCGGCCTCCTCGCTGTGCAGGGAGGCCGCTAGAGAAGTGACGGACGTCCGCCAGTGGACGTTCGCTCCCCCCCCCCGCGGGGGGGGGGCGCTCAGGGCAGTGGCCTCCGATTCTACACGGGGCAGCTTATAGTAATAAGGGCTGGAGGTGCGTCGTTATTGTTTTCTCGCTGATTGGCGCGCGACCTCCACTCGCCTCTCGGCTCCTGTCGCTCCTCCCTCGTTCGCACGGCCCCCACTCATCGCCTCCACCTTCTCCGTCGTAGCCCGTCGGCGGCCGTGCCTTAAGCCGACTTGGCGGGGCCGTCTCGGGGGCATCTGGGGCCATCTCGTGGCCCTCTGGGTCCGCCTTGGGGTCCTCTTGGCGGCCTCGTGGGCCGTCTTGAGGCGACCTGGGAGGCCCCTCGGGCCGTCTTGGGCTGTCGGAAAGCCGAACGCGCGAGAACGCGGAAACATTCAAAACCATAAGAACATCAACACATGTTGTTTCTCAAGGCCTGCTTTGTTGGGCCGTCATGGGGACCTCTAAGGCTGCTTCTGGGACCGTCTTCGGGCCTTTCGGGCCGTCTTGGTTCCCTCCTGGGCCGTTTTGAAGCAATTGGACCGTCTAGGAACCATCTTGTTTTTTGTTGGGCCGTCCTGGGTGGTACCTGAAGCAATCTTGGCCGGGCCGTCTGGGGGGCCTCTTGGGACATTTGGTTGGTGGCCCTCTTGTACCGTCCTGGGGTCCTCTTGGCGGCCTCTTGGGCCGTTTCGCCCCTTCAGCCCTCGGGCCGTTAGGGGCAGTCGGAATACAGAAACAGGGAAAACGCAGAAAAAAACCCAAACCATAAGACTACGATATGGTGTTGCCTCTCGGAGGAGCCCGCTTATGGGGGTCCTCTTGGGGCCCTGGTTGGCCGTATTGGAGACCTCTTGGGAGGCCTCTTGGGAGGCTTCTTGGATTGTCTTGAGGAGGAGGAGGGGGAGGAGGAGGAGGAGGAGGAGGAGGAGGAGGAAGAGGAGGAGGAGGAGGGTCTTGGTGCCCTTCTTGGCCATCTTGGGGGCCCCCTCCGTTTTGTGGGCCTCTTGGGGCGCCGTGGGCCCCTCGGTTGCTCAGGGGCGCTCTCTCGGTGCCGTCTTGGCGCCCTCTGCGGCCGTCTTCTGGCCCCCTTGGGAGCCCCCCTCGGGCCGTCTCTGTCGGTCGGAAGGCGCACATAATGAGGTACAAGAGGCGCCCAAGAGGCTCTTCAAAGAGGCTCCCAAGAGGCCCCCAAACTCCTCCCCAGAGGCCCCCGAGAGCCTTCCGAAGAGACTCCAGAAAGCATCCCTGAGGACTCTGGCCAACGTCAGTGTCGTCGTCGTCGCCGCCGCCGCCGTTATCGTGTCGTCCCCCTTAAAGGGTCGGCGGCACTAGCCGCAAAACCTTCGCAATAACGAGGTGAACTCATGCAAAAGCCCTGAAACAATCAGCAGTGATTGCTTCATGAGGCCTCCTTTGGGGACCTCTTGGGGCCCCATGGGGCCGTCTTTGGGGCTTCTTTGGCCGTCTCAAAGCCATCGTGGGCCCCCTCGGAGCGCTCTTGGACCGTTTTAGGGCCCTAATGGGCCGTTTTCGGGTTATCTGAGGCTGTGTCGGTCTTTCACGGGGCAGGCTTCTGCTGATCTTGGATACCTTTTTGACGGCCCCGGGGCTCGGAGATGGCCCCCAGACCCCGAAATGTCGACAACTCTCCGCCCATAATTTTTCAACGCGCTGGGTTCTTAGAAGGCCACCTCGAGATCGTTGCCCCACCCCCAAGCCAAATTCTGTTCAAAATAGCACCCGGATCCCTCCCCAGGCCCATCCAAGTAGCTTTTCGAATCCCGTCCAGCCGTGACGACGGGAACCTCCAGAGATGCCCCCAAATCCACCAAAAGACGACGACGTCGACGACACGACGACGAGCGACGACGACGACGGTCGACGACGACGACGACGAGCGGCTCAGGCTGCAGGCCGCCGTCGACGCCATGGACCTGGAGGCGGCCACCAGACCGGGCGGAGGGCAGGGGGGCTCGGAGGCCCAGACCCGCGTTGCCCGAGCGTCGCCCCCGCCTTCTGATGATCATCAGGATGCGCATTAGCCCAATGTGTCAGAGGAGGAAAGGGTATCCATGCCTCTACAATTCCCTCGTTTTCCTCTTTTTCGGGCCTCCTGGGCGGCCCTCGTCGCCACCGCTGGATTTGCCTCGAAATCCTGGTCAGAGCGCTCCCCAGGAGAGGTCCTGGGAGTAGCAGTATCGGTACCTTTTGGTCTCCCCAACGTGTGTGTGTGTGTGTGTGTGTGTGTGTGTGTGTGTTCCCCCCTCGAGCTCCGCCGGCAGCGCGCAGCGTGTCGGGGCCTTCTGATGAGCTTGCATGCGTCGTGCCTGGAGGACTTCGGTGGGCGGGCAGACGTCGGCGCCAACACACATTCTGGGGATCGTCGGCTGGCAGGCGACGGCCTCCAGGGAGGCCTGGGCTCGAGCGGGTGCGCTCGGCGGCGAAAGGTGTGAGGCACGCCCCCGCGCGCGGGCCAGAGGTCCAGACATCCAGCGAACCGGGTTCTCGATCCTAGCGTGCTTCCTCGCGTTTCGGCCTCTGCACAAGAAGCTCCACAGAGAGCCTGAGGACGGCCACGAGAGTGCCATCTTAGGGTACGATTTGTGTTGAAAGTCTGCAGTCCCAAACGCGCTCCCAAGACCTCGGGAACATCACGACCCAGGAGCTGGGAGCGCCCAGAGTCCTAGCAGTATGAGGCCTGGGCCTTTCTGAAGAGTGTGTGAACGATGCTCAGCACAGAGAGCTCGAAGGGGCCCCAGAAGTGTCCATCTCGTGCCTCGGGGCAGGGCGGTGGCTCCTTGGACACGCTCTCGGCAGATCGGAGCTCACGTGCCATGCATCTGCGCACCATCTGAGAAACCAGCCTGCCAGCAGGTGCCCCACGAAGATGTCTCGTCCCGCGACGGCCCCAGGCACCCACCGAAGTTTGTGGGCTTCCCGCGAGTGCCAGAATCGACCGAACGGTGTGCCCCTAGATGCCTTACAGCAGGATCTCTCAACGTGCGCACCCGCTGTCCCAGAGATCCGATGTCCTGTTCTTTCCCATGCGAGGTCCCCGGAAGTCTCGGCCCCCTCCCTCCTCGGACTGGCCTTTTCATCCCGAGTCGTTTTTTGACGGTCGTGGGCCCGGCCGAGAGTGTCCATAGTCGGCGGCGAGCGAGGGGGCGAAGTGAGAAGGAGAAGGCCTTCTCAGAAGGCGGCGGGATTTCTCAGAAGCCCTCGCGCCTTCCGAGAAGTTTTCTGTGTCTTCGGGGAAGGCCTAGGTTGTAAGCTTCTCGGAAGGTTAGGGGACTTCCGAGCCTCCTGAGAAGGCCTGCCCCCTCCTCACCTCCCCCCCCCGCGCTCGCCGCCAAGTCTACAGGTGCCGAGGACGGCGAAGGACCTCCGCTGTGGTCTTCCCCAGGCGCCGGAGGTCCGGGGCGGCGGGCGCCCCAGAGCTGCCGGAGAGCCCGGGCGGCGGCGCCGGGAAAGGCAGCCACGTGAGCCGATGTTCTGCCTTGGAAAGCCTCTGCCATCCCCCCCTCGGCGTTCCCCCCCGAGAGGACGGCGAGTGGCCTCCGCTTCGGTGTTTCCAGGCGCGCGGCGGGCGCCTGTTGTCGTGGACTACTTTTTGCGAGTCTTGGCATCGTGGCCGCCCGGAGGCCATCCTGCGCACGGGGCGGCGGGCTCGATCAGAGCTTAATAATATTAATATTTTGAATTCTAGGTTTCAGTGGTCCTCTTAATAATATTAATAACCTTTTCGATCAGAGCTTAATAATATTAACCTTTTCGATCAGAGCTTAATACTATTAACCTTTTTGAATAGAAAGCCGAGCAGTTCCTTTCGGCGGAGGGCCTAAGGGTGAAGTCTGACATGCCGTTCCGATGGGTTTTCGAGGGAATCTGCCAAAGGTGCATCACAAGACTGATTGATTTTCGAGGTGCGCAAGCCCATGATGGAGGGTGACGATTAATAAATGACCGGGGGTCGTGCTCACGCGGCGGCGCCCGGGATGACGATTAGACAAAACCGGCCGCGAGCTGGAAAACTATTTCTTTTTATCGTTCTCCTCCAGTCAGAAAATGGTGCAGAAATAGCAGAAAGCTATTTGTTTCATCGTTCTCTCCCACTTTTGTATGAATCGTCATCCCGCATTATGGATTTCACCCTGTGCCCTCCACCCCTAGGAAATGCCGAGGGAAACTAAGAAGGGGGGCAGCGGGCGCCCCCGAGCCGCCGGGGAGAGCCCTTTGCGGAGGTGCTGGTGCCCAACCTGGAGGAGTGCCAGACGGCGGGCCTGCCCGCCGTGGACCTGCTGAGGCGCGCCGTGGACGCCCGGGCCGCTATCGAGGGCCTCCAGGACGGCCTGCCTCAAGGGGCCCAAGGACACACAAAAAATAGATACACGAATAAACAGGGTTCCCAATATTTTCACCTATTTTTTGATTTCCGCTTTTTTTCCCGGGAATCGACGATTCATTGTGTCTGTGTGTTCTGTTCCCTCCTGACTGCCGGGAGGAGGCGGCCGCGCATCTGGGGGCGGCGATGCTCAAGCAGTGGCGAAGCGTCCTGGCGTGCCTAGAGGCCTACCAAGCAATGTTCTCAGAACCTTTTGTGGTCTCCACGAAGTGTTCTTGGAACATTTCTGGCTGGGTCTGTCGTGTTTTAACACATCGGGTTTATGTTATAAGAACTTTGTTTTGTTATTTTAACATTTCTGGGTTCTAAGAACATGTCGTGGCAGGCCTACAGGAATGCTGGGACGGTCGGTCCCTGCTCAAGATGCGGGGGGGGAACGCCGCGAAGTACAGCGAACCGACGAACTTCAGAATAGACCTCCGAGCAGGAACCGAGCGAGCCTCCGAGCAGGAGCCGAGCAGACCGCCGGACCCCTGCCGCGCAAGAAGCCCCAGACGTGTACCGAGCAGGGGATGCTGTCGCCATGGGGGAGGCGGGTCCTGAGGGAAGCGGGTCCTGAGGTCTGTGTCCGTTTTCGGCCTCTCGTGGCTTGGCGGCGCGCAGAGGGGGGTACGGGGAAGGGGGAGGGGGGAATCGGGGGTGGACAGAACCCCCGACAGTGACACGTCGATTAGTGAATTGTCCGTTTTCGGTTCTCGAGAGGGCGCCGTGGCCGTTATTTTCCAGGTCTGCGCCCGCCAGGTTTTGGCCGCAGGTCGTTTTCACTAAACCACGTTTTACTAAAGGGGAGTCTGTCCATCCCCGAGGGAAGGCTTCTTAGAGGCGCCCCTGCGTCTTAGAAGGCGGGGGCCTTATTTCTGCATGTTGGGCCGGCGCCTTCTAAGAAGCCCCCTCGTTCTAAGAAGCCTTCCCCCATCCCTCTACCCCCTCGCGCGCGCCGCCAGGGGTCCTGACGTTTTTGGCCGTTTTCGGGCTCTCGGGGCCCTCCACGGGCCCCGGGACCGTCAGAGAACGACTCGGGGTGGAGACGTGATTGGTACGCTTGAAATGGGTATTGCAAACCTTGGGGCGAAAACCGACTTCGGTTCTTGCCCATTTCGAGCAGGACTTGCTGTCGGTGTCGCTGCAGACTTTGTCCATGTGAGACAGAGAGTGGTCGGCCCAATAGCGGCCGCGATTGGTGTTGGACAACCAAAGGGCATTGTGCACCTTTGTCCGCACCCAGTTTGGGCGTGCCACGGGGAGCAACATCGAAGAGCGGGGATCGAGAATCGGTGCGCTGGACGTGTTTCGCATTTTTGTGCAGGCCTACCTGGCTTCTTGTCGCCACGGCTGGAACGCGCTCCTGGACAAATCGATCGGTCAAGGCCACGGACGGCTCGAACCCACCCGTGAGAATCGGCCTCACGCCCCGCAACCTTTCCCAGTCATGTCGTTGCATTGGTCCCGCCGTGGCACCCCCCCGCAGCGGCTGAACGCTTCGTGTGCGCTGCTGGCGAGGCTCAACATGACCATTGGGGGCAGGTCCGCGGCGGAGGACAACGCGCAGCAAAGCAACACCTCGCCCCAAGAGACAGCCAAGTTCGTCGGCTGGAACCCGCATTCGTTCTTCAGCCGCCATGGACGTACATCCGCGATTGGGTTCTTGTTTCCTGGGTCACACGTAAGACAGGTCAGTACCTTCGCGCACCACAATGAGCAAATCGAATTTCATTTCTGGGTGAATTGGGGCTGGAAACGGGCGCCATAGGTTACCGCACCATTCGGGCGCGCGATTACCATACCACGACGATGGTTTTCGGTTTCGCCATCTGGTGCATGGTTTGTCTTCCCCCCAATCAGTACAAGGACGCGGAGGTTCAGTTGATACGTTCGAGGCAAAATGCGAGTACGACGTATCGACGGCGACTTCCCGCCCGTCACCAGCAAGCTCACACACAGACGGTGAGTACCTGCACGCGGCTGTGGCAATGGATTGCGCCAGAAAATAAATCATGCCCTGCACATGAGATACCTTCTATTCTTCGGCGACCTCAACCAAGCACTCGGCAAACGCCACCGAAGCATGAGAACGGATGAGAGCGTCGCACCCACGCAAACAGTCCTAGGGACAACGGTGGGTGCATTCGTACACGAGTCCGTCTTCGCGAACTCGTTTCCCACGTTCAACAGCTTCTGGGGCACATGTTCGACATTCGTCGGCAACGGCAGTGTTCAGAACAGGATGGGCTACTGGATCGGCCCGACGGACGTTTCAACCATCATCAGTAATATTAAGCCATGCAGGAGACGTACCGCATCAACGACTACGGGTTCTGCTACACATGAAGGACCACATTCCGATGCTGATCCCTATGCTCTTCGATGGGATTGGGCATTAATCGCTGCTGGACTGCAGGCTGGCTACTGCAAACCAGATTTTCTGCATGACTTTCATCAAAGACTCTACCAATGTCGACGCCAACTACGCGCATTACGCAACAATCAATTACCGAACCGACACGCTGTATTCCCGACGCGAAGGCAGACCCAGCTGGCTCAAGGACGTCAAAGCTGAACGTCACGAGCTACTCCGCGAACGGGCAATGCTAGGCGAACGAGGGACTGCCGCGGACGAGGACCATCTCAAGCGCATATCAAGACAGCTCCGCGAACATGCACAATCGGAGCAAGCCTGGCGAAACCAATCTACTGACGACAGCGCGACCTTTCCTGAGTAGTTGAACTCGCCCGACTCCAAGTTGGCACATGAGCGGGCCCCAAGAAGCGCACCTTCCTCGCCTTCCCCAGCGCGAGACCCGCTGCCTCCCACCACGCGGCAGCACTCGGCAGAGGCGGCGCCGATGACGGCTCGCAGCCGAGCCCGCGCACGTCAGCATCTACTTCGACAGCGCCGCCGCTATCGACCAGCTCTACCGCCGCAACGACCGCGACTTGACACTTCCGGGCGAGCGCGGAGCGGGCCCGACCCGCGACGTCTTGCTCACCGCCGCCGAGGATTTCGATTACATGGCCAAGCGCCTCCTGGCCAAGAAGGACCGCAAGTTCTCGCCCACGTGAATCTGGTCCACCGGGCTCGCCGCCATGGCGCTTTGCCCGACCTACCTCGACCGGCCTGGATTGCTGCGAAGCGGGCTCGGTTGCGCCACCGCGGACGACGAGTATTCGATGCATCTACTGCCCCCTGGACTTGGACGCGAATCCGAGCCCGAGCGGATGACGAGGACAACCAGACAGCTTGACGCCGTCTTTGGCCGCCTGATCGACGCCAAGTCAACATCGACCGCGACCACTGTCAGGCCCCAGTGATCACGTCCATCCACCTTCTCGCCCGCGCACGTGATTCAGCCGCGGGACCTGCGCAATCATGCGCTGGCCAGACGGTGGCCACCGGCGAGAAGGGCAATGGGCCTAGTCGCGACCCCGTTCGCAATGTGAACGACCGCCCCAGAATGCCGCGCGTCTTCTGCAATTTCTGGCGGCTCTACCGACGAAGCGGACTGGTCGAGTTCGGCAGCGCTCGCAGCTCGCCTCATTGGGCTTGCGGTGGCATCCGAGCGCGCCAGCGGGAAGGCATTATGCAACTTGCCCGCGTCGCCATCTGCGTGCCTCGCAAGGCCCGCGCCCCCTGCGTCGTGGAGGGCGACGACATGAGGGGCGCTCTCGGCGCGGGACACCGAACGAATGTGCGCAGCACATCAAGTTCGATCTGGTGATGCGCAAGGCATGCTAATTCAACATCGGGAGAAGGCTACTATTCGCACCTACGCCTGCAAGCAGATGATCGCCCTGCATCTGAAGAGCGGCCGTCGCGCGGGCGCCAGCCAGCAGCGGGGCGGAACTTTCCACGGGGCCCCCTCGCCCGCTCATCGCGGAATGGGGCAGCGAGCTCACCGGCATCATCGGCGACGGACTTAGCGCTCGGCCCGTTCACAGGCCAGATGCACAACCAAGACCGGCCCCCCCCCCCCCCCGACGGCACGCAACGGCAAGCGCCGGCGATGGACTGCGTCGACGCGCCCATCCTGGACGCCAGGCTCGCGAAGGGCGACTGCGCGCAGAACGTCGCCAGACAGGATAACCATGGCCCACCTGTTAACCGACGCCGCCAGTAAGCGAGCTGAACATGAGCTCGGCGGCATAAGCATGACCAACTTTATTCGTCTGGGCTTCTACATCCACGCTGGCTACAACGCGCGGGAGGTCGAGCAGCGCATTCGCGCGCGCAACATCGGCTGGACCAGGCGTAGTCGCATTTGGACATCACCTATTCCCAGACGCTTCAAAATATTCATCTTCCTCGCGAACACCGCGGGCAGAGCGCGGCCTGGCCTGGAAGCCCCGCGCCCCTCGCGCGTAGAGACTGCGCGAAGCGTTGCGAGCCTTGCAGAAAAGATGCGCCGCGCGATGCTCGGCGCAGCCCACTCAGTCGACTCCGCCATCACCCATCGTTCATGGTCGGCGCGGGAGATTTTCACGGGGGGATCGCCCCCGCCGCTCTTGAGCCACGCGCGCGCAGACTGCAGCGGTGGCAAGCCCTGAGGAATGAAGCGCAGCGTCGCGATCAATTTCCTGCTGTTTTTTTTTCCTGCCGCCGCGCAATCGAAAACCCGATATCGGCCCAGGCCCCCCCCTCGCTGTTGCTCCTGCGTTGTCAGCCGATGGGCCCCTGAGCTCCAAGGCCACGGTGCGCCCCTGGACCTTCCTGCAACGAGCAGATTCCCAGAGTGCCTCCGAAGCCCCCGTCGCCGACGACATAGACGTGCTCTGAGGCATCCTTTCGAACGTTAAGGAGCTAGTTCAGACGCCCGAAGCCCGGGGGGCCTTCCAGAATGCGAGTTTCGGCCCCTCCGCCAGGCGCGCGCGTCGCAGTATTGGGCCCCTCTCGAACGCGCACGGCGCCTTCTTGCTGGCGAGCCTCCTGGAGATCCCGACGGCGACCCTGGAGACCCCTTCCGTTCGTCTGCGTCATCGAGGGCCTCGCGAAGAAAGTCTACACATTTCCAGCATATGTATGTATGTATGCATGTATGTATGTATATATATATATATATATATGTTGCCCAACCATTGCAACACTGTCAGGACATGGCACGAACGCCGTCCTCTCGACGATCACGATGGACACTGAAATCCTCGCATGTGGAAACATGCATGGAAACACTTGACATTTCCAATATCACTATTGTTGCTCGATGCTGGAGGGGCGCTGTTTCGTCGATCGCGCGCCGCATGCGCGCGCGTGGACCCCGTCAGCGCGCGCCAGGTGCCCATTCGCGCACGCTAGTGCAGCTGTAGCTTGCCAGCGTAATTCCCAGGATCCAGAAGAGCTCAGAACGCATCTCCGCGCGCGCACCCCCCCGTCGCCGCGCGGCCTTTGCTCGACAGCCCCGCGCTCTGCGCGCGCGGCCCATCGACGAGGGGAGTCGGTCAGGCCGCCGCCCTCGCCGGCGCGGGCTTCGAAGACCGCTCTGATGCTGCCCAACTTCGGCGCGGAGCGCGATTGGCAGCTGACCGACTACTTGGCGCCACTCGCAGCGTCGAGCCAGCGATTGCGCGACCGGCGGGTCGCGCTGAAGGCGCTTCGGCGAACCGAGCTGGGCGCTGCATGATACTGCGCGACTTCGGCTGCCCGCCCTGCACTTGCATCGAGGCCCCCCCGCCCGAAGCCGGGCTGAACCGTTATCTGCAAAAGATGGCGGGGACAGACGGCGCCGCCGACGGAGGGGGGGCGCGCGGCGTGGAGAGGCCCGCCGCCGCCCTCGACCAAGTCTGGCAACTCTGGCAGAGGCTCCAAGGACGGCGAGCCGACAACCAGACGCCAGAAAGTGACAGGCACCCAACAGGGCGAGGCCGCCGCGGAGGCCGACGAGGACGTGAACGACGCCGGGAAGCAGGGGGAGGACAATGCGGAAGAACCACGCCGAGCTCGCCGTCGCGGAGGACGTCGAGCACGCCGAGGCCCACGCGGACAAGGCTTGGACCAACAAAGACAGGAACCCCCAGCCCCACTCGATGTTGTTGAGGACCCTCACTTTACACGCGCGCAGAAGATCTGATTGATAATGTGCTCAGCGGTCGACGCCTGGGCCCTGGAGACGACCCGCCCGCTTCTCACCTGCGTCGGCGACGAGTTGGAGGGCCTTTCGCATGAGAGTCAACGGCGTCAAGACGGACAAGAACAAGGAGTCGCTCCAGGAGCGCGGCCCGCCGACTACCTCTTGGGCCCTGGCGATGCTGGAAGTCTTGGCCTCTCGCGAGGTCGGCGGCAGAGCGAGCCAGCAGATCAGCGACTGCCTGGAGGAGTGCCAGCCGACCGATTAGCATATCGAGCCCGCGGTGGGCGCGAAGCAACTCCTGTCCCAGGTCTCCTTTATGAGACTCGAGAAGACACGCGACAGCAACATCGCCAAGCTGATGATCGTCGCGTGCGATTGGCCAGCTCGTCAATTCGTGATCGACGGCCTCAGGGCCGAGGGCGGCGCTCGCCACCGCGTGGGCCCCGCCCCCCCTGCGGGCTGGATGGAGGAGGAGATCTTGGTCTGGCTGGAGCACTTCAGACGGATCGCAGGATAAAGTTCACAGCAGGAGAGACCTTCCCAGGAACTAGCACCGGGCCATCATCGGCGCCAGCTCCGCCTGCGACTTAAGCTTCTGCAGATGCTGCACACTCTGCTCGGATAGTGATGAGCTCCCCTTCGCCGACGCGGAGGATGAGTTCGCCGCCGATGAGGACGCAGTCGATTTCTTTCATGCCGAAGCCTTCGCAGACCCGTCCCCCGCGCCCGGCCGGTCACAGTTTTTAGCATCCACCCTTCCTCGTCGCTCCCCTGCCTCTACCAGCATGTCAACCCCTTTTCGACTCGCCCCCCACTCGTAAAGCAGATAGGCAGGCCATTCACTTCCAGTTTCCTTGCCAACGGAGCGAACAGTGATGCTGCAGGGGCCTAGTATGAGGGGACTCCTGGGGCCCCCTGGGGCCGACAAGGATGTTGGGGTCTTCTCCGCTGTTCCGCTTGACTGCCCGCAGAATTGCGAGCAAACGCCGTGGTAGCGCACAGCCGCAGTGGCGAGAGGCAGTGCCCGCACGGGCCGCTGCAGCGACGAGCATGTCTGCATATTTTTTCTTTGGTGAGAGGCGATGTCACCCGAGGCTTCGGTGTCGTGTGATGTGGCTGATCGCCGTGCGTGGTTTCGTCCATCCCAGCGAGCTTCAGACGTGCAGTCGCATTCGTGTGCCCCGCTGTCGTCGGCAAGTCGAACGGTCGATGTTTGATAGATGGGGGAGGAGGAAGAGGAAGAGGAAACGGAGAAGGAGGAAAACCAGTGTACACCCAAGAGTCATCAATGATGTTGGAATGTACCCTGCATCCCAGCTCCCACTTCATACGCCCCTACGAGTGTTCATTTCCATTGACGGAGCTGCCCGGTTGGAAGGCAACCGTTTGAAGTTCCTGAAGCGTGCCAAACATTGTTCCCGGGGTTTCAGCACAACGGACCAACTTGATTGTTGCATCTCTTCGGCCTTGAAACGCACTAGAACGCAATTCCTCGGACTTCTACACCTCGAGCCAAGGTAACTGTTGCACCCTCATGGTCGCGAATTTCACCAAAACCCGATGTCTGATACGCTGATCATGGGATTTTTTTGCGTAATAACAAAAAACATTTTTTAAAAAGAAAAAACGCGAAGATTCTTGCAGGAAAAAAAGCGAATGTGCGCGGCGCTACGGCGAGAGCCGCATTTTAAAAAGGAACCGCCCTCATTTCGTGAAGCTCGTGCAAATTTTCTAAACGCATGCGCGCGGCGCTAAGGGCGAGAGCCACATGTTGAAGTCCATCCGCCTGTAATCCGTGAAGCTTCTACGAATTGTTCAAAACGCATGTGCGCGGCGCTAAGGCGGGGACCACATGTGGAAAACCACCCGCCCTCGACCAGTGAAGCCCTTGCAATTGGTTTAAACTCATGTTCGCGGCGTTAAGGCGAGAACCACCTGTTGAAAACCACCCGCCCTCAATCCGTGAAGCTCTTCCGGAGTGTTCAACACGCATGTTCGCGGCGCTATGGCGAGGGCCACATTTTGAAGCCCCTTCAAAATTTTGCGCACAATTCTATAATGAATGTGCGCGGCGCTAAGGCGAGAACTACATGTTGAACACCACCCGCCCTCCATCTGTGAAGCTGTCGACAATTTGTAGGCTTCAGTGCTATGGGTGGTCAGGAAGTATCAGGCGAAACGCCCGGCCCGCACTAAAAACTTGCTTCGGGGTGCAACAGGGAGAAGCTGCTTATAAGGAAAAGGAATGGAGGAGGAGGAAGAGGAGGAGGAGGAGGAAGAGGAGGAGGGGGTAGGTGCAGGATGATGATGATGACGATGATGATGATGATGCTCCTGAGGATGGGGATGAGGATGATGGTGATGATGATGATGATGATGATGATGATTATAATGATATGATGATGATGAGGATGTGGATGAGGATGCTGATGATGCTGCTGCTGCTGATGATGATGATGATGATGATGATGATGATGATGATGATGATGATGATGATGATGATGATGGTCGAGCGTCGCTGCTTTAGGAATGTTTTCTGGCCGCTCTGGGGGTTTGGGACATCTGCAGGAGCCTCTACACGCGTTTGGAACTCCACGAGGAGGAGGCGGAGGAGGAGGAGTTGCACTGATTGCAGTTCGAGCGGGGGCGTAGCGGTTGTGGTCAGTATCAGTACCCACGGATACGCCTGTCGATCCGCCCGCCTGGTTCCGCCCCGTCCGTCCGTCGTCGGTCATCGCCTCTCCAGACCCCCACGACGTCGACCCCCAGAGGTCTGGACCCCTTCCCCGTGGCCGGCGTTTCACCCTGAGCCGTTTCTTGACGGTCCCGGGGCCCGGTGAGGGCCCCCGGAGGCCGAACACAGGAACACCAAAAAAAAACGTTGTGATTTTTGTCGCGACGCGAGGGGGGTCTGGGCCTCCCCCCCGCCCTCCTTCTGTGAGCGACAGGGCGCTCGTGGGCGGCTCTGGGCTTCTGGATGCTCTCCGCCCCCGTGGGCCTCGGGAGGCCTTCCGCCCCTGGGGACCCTCCAGGGGAGGAGGGCCTCCAGAGACCTCCTTCCTCCCCTCCTCCTTCTCCTCCTCCTCCTCCTCCTCCCTCCTCTCCTCCTCCTCTCTCCTCCTCCTCCTCCTCCTCATCTGCTCTCCATCCTTATCCTCCTCCTTCTCCTCCTCCTCCTCCTCCTCTCCTCCATCTTCTCCTCCTCCTCCTCCTCCTCCGTCCTCCTCCTCCTTCCTCCTCCTCCTCCTCTCCTCCTCCTCCTCCTCCTTCCCTGTCCTGAGTGAAAGGGTGCAAGGGAGAGCGGGAGCGAGCGTTGCCGCATGCCTGCGCCCGCCGCAGCCTTTGGCTTACAGATGAAGGCGGGGACCCGCCGAACTGTCGACAGAGAGTGAAGCTATCAGTCAAAGATCAGCACGCCTCCGCATGGTTATGATGACGATCATTTCTCTCGTGCGTGCTGCCTGGCCGTTCGGCCACCAGGAGGAGGAGAGCACCAGAGGTCTTACGACTCTGGTAGCGGAGCCGGTGGGCTCTGCAGGGTCGGCTGCAAGTCCGGCCGGCTCTGCGTGCGACGTGGGCGGCGAGAGGCCGCAGCGTGGCGACCACGGCAATGGGGTTGAGTCGAGCTCAAGGCGTTGTACCTGCTGTGCTACGACCGCTCCATGTGCGGCCTGCCTTGCGCAGGCCACGATATCATCAAGTACTGGATGCTCTTCCTCTTCGACGAGTTCGACGCCGAGCAAGATCGTGCTGCTCATCGGTCTCCTCGGCATCCTGATCAACGTAGCGGGCTCGGCAGAGCCCCTGGGCTTCAGGCCCAAGACGCCGCAGCGCGGCCAGCGCATCGGCGAGTCGCGGCTACCGGCGCCACAGTGGGGACAACATCACGAGCAGAACGTACAGGGTCTGCCGGCGGCAGAGCTGGCACAGCAGAGCACATCCAAGGTCCCGCCGTTCTGGGCTCCGTACCTCGAGCAGCGCGGGTACCCCTTCAGGCTGTGGGTCCAGGACGTGATGCTGTGGTGCGCGGCGACGGAGCTGCAGCAGCACCAGCGCGGCCCGGCAATCGTCCAGCGGCTCGGCGGCACGGCGAGGGACCTCTGCCGCGAGGTGCCGGTCGAGGCCATCGCTCACGGCAGGTTCGACCAGCTCGGCAACCTGGTCGAGGACGGAGTGCAGATGCTGATCACCGGACTCAGGCGGCGCTTTGGCCCGCTCGACGTCCAGTCATCGATCAGCACCATCGTCGAGCTTCTCACATTCCGCAGGCAGGAGCGGGAGAGCGTCGATGACGCGATCACGCGCTTCGAGGCTCTGCGCGCCCGAGTGGCGCAGCTGGACGACCCGTTCGTGCTGCCGACGCCGGTGCTCTCGCTGTTGTTTCTGGAGGCCCTGCATGTGCCCAAGGCTGTGTACCCCCTGGTGCTGCAGTCCAACAGCGGCCAGCTGCCATTGACGATCGATCAGCTGAACAGCGTGATCGGGATGGTGCGGCAGCAGGGCCACTTCGCGGAGCACACCCACGCAGGACCTCAGAACTTGGCTGAAGGGTACCGCGGCAAAGGATATCACGGTCATCATTGGTTCACGGGCGAGAATGACAGCGGCGCAAACACCTGGAACGACACGGCCGCCTACATGTATGGTCAGAACGCAGCCAGCGTGGCAGGGAGCGCTGGATCTGCACCACAGCACTACGTGGTCCAGGACGACGAGGGCTACGATTGTTGCGCCGTCTGCTCGAGCTACCTGTACGAGGACGAGCCCGGGGACGATGACTCGATGACCGACGACGACGACTTGGACACTTCCCAGTTCACTCAGGAAGAACTGCAGGAGTATTATGGTGACTCCGAGGGCTGGGACTACGACACCCTGCTACATGAGTACCTGTTCGCGAAGCGCAGGTTTCGCCACTTCGTCCAACGGAACAGCCGCCGCTCTCGGTTCCCGCGCAGCAACTGGTCTCTACGCATGAACAGCGGCAAGGGCGGCAGCAGCTTTGGACGCGGGCGAGGCCACGGCAAGGGATACCACTTCGGCGGATCGGTGGTGAACCCAGGCTCACTGGCGGGAGGAAAAGGTAAGAAGAAGAAGGGCGGCAAGCGCTACATGGCTGGCACGCCCGGCGCCACCAATCCCCGAGGCAGTGACGGCCGCACGATGCGGTGTCACGAGTGCGACTCGGAGACTCACCTCGTGGCCGCCTGTCCCAAGCGCAAGGGCAAGGGCAAAGGCAAGCACTTCATGTCCTGGAACACTGGCAGCGCCGCGACGGGGACGCAGCAGGCCGGGGCTCCAGCCGCCGACCCAACGTTGGCCGCCTATGCGCCCGTGCCCGCGCAGCCGCGGACTGGAGCCTTGTCTGGAGTGCTGCACTGGTTCACTGAGGACGCCAGGACGCCCGGCCTGCAGATCGACGATCTTGACGAGGACACCTCCCGCGAGGCTCTGAGCTGGGAGACCCTTGACATGCGCGACAACGTCGCGGAGCACGACATACTGACGGAGATCCAGGCCAGCATGCAGGACCGAGCTGTGGAGGAGCAGCCTCCGGCGACAGTTGGGCGATCAGCGGCCGTGACCAGCCCGACATGGTTCCCATGGTGGCGAGTGGATCAGTTCGAGAACGCCAGCGGGGAGACCTACTTGGTTCGCACCCGCATGAAGGACAGGAGTGGCGAGGCTCTGCTGGTGGACCCCGGGAGCCCAGGCAACCTTACTGGCGACGAGTGGGGCAACAGGATGGCAGCGCGACAGCAGCAGGCAGGACGTCCACCGCCTGTCCGCACCCCACTTGACCGGGTGCTTGAGGTTGGTGGTGTGGGCTCAGGATCTCAGCAGGCCACGCGCGCCCATCGCTATCAACTGGCGCTGCAGGGGGGACAAGCCGCGACCTACGAGGCGCCGGTGCCCCCGAACAGCAGCGTGCCGGCACTGCTCGGGCGAGCACCGCTGCGGGACCAGCGCATACTGCTCGACTGCTTCAACAATCGCATGTACCGCATCGGCCCGGGCGGCTACTCCCTGCAGCTGAGCCCAGGATCATCGCAGTACCATCTGGAAGAGAGCCACGCCGGTCACCTCATGCTGCCCTGCGACCTCTACGACGAGACGGGAACATCGGGGAGTTCGGGACCCACGAGGACGATGGCATTGGCGACTTCGACGACATCAGATCCGACATCCTTACCTGCAGCAACCGCACCGACTACCGCATCCACCAGGACGGCAAGCAGGAAGACAACTACGGCGACGTCATCCGGCAGTGGTGCCGCACCGGACAGCGCCAGCGGGCAGCCCGACGCGGGCAGCCTGCACCTCTGATCGAAGACACCCCATCTCGGTGCTCGGGACGGCGGGGGCACCAGGGAAGTACAGGGGAGACCGCCATCGGCATGGGTGTTCGGCGACTTGCAGAACCTGTGCCAGAACGCGCTGCACGGATGCGGATATGCGGCGGGTCGCAACTGTGATGTTCACAGATTCCTCGGGCAGGAGGATAAGTGGGCGGATTCCTTGCGCCACCAGCAGCCGGAGCTCGTTTGGATCAGCCTGGCTCAGCCGGGCACGTCGCGAGGCACTCGCAACGACAAGCGAGCCAAGCGCTTCGAATGTAAGATCGCTCGAGCTCAACTTGAAGGGCATCGCTGCTGCATCGTCGAGGCGGACCAGGGCAGCGCGGCGTGGGACGTGCCCGACATCCTGGAGCTGCTGGACGACAGGAGGTGGCACTCAGGACGACTACGATGGTGCAATCTCGGTGTGCGTGATGCTCGAGGATCACCAGCAGCTCAGACTACACGCATCATCAGCAGCAGCTACTTCGACGACCACGACGCGAAGTGCCGCTGCGGCTGGCCAGCAGGCCGACATGTTACACGGAAGACTGCTGCAGATCGGTTGGACTTCAAGGCCAGAGGGGTATCTGCTCTGGTCAAGCGGATGGTGGCCGCTGGTTGCTTCGACGGCGGCGCGAGATCCGACGCAGCCGACGGATTGTCGCCATCTGCGACAGCTACACCACGCCGTGAGGCCGGGGGTGATTCCCGACCCGGGTCGTCGAGGACTGATCCGACGACTGCCGGGCCTCCAGGATCTCGGACAGCGGCCTTGAGAGAAGCCGGCGAGGAGCAGCCGCGAGGTGAGCGACGTCGCCCTGGCCGAGTATCATTCGCGGACGACGTCGACGAGACCGGCTGCAAGGTGAGCGCGCTGACCGCGAGCTTTCCCACCGAGCAGAGGACGCGCGACAAGGCGCGCAAGGCAGCAGACCCGGAGCGCAAGGTGAAGAAGAGGCCACAGACAGTGGAGCAGGTCTTCGACGACTGCGGCTCCGATTTCACGAAACTCTACGTAGCGAACGAATACGAGCTGGACGAGGTGTGCTACGGCACCGAGCTCAGGGAGGACCAGCACATCGATGAGCAACCGTACATCATGATGTCCGAGTTCTTTGGCATGATCGGCTCGGAGGCGCACCTGAACGAGAAAGACGAGCAGCATAACTTCTTCAGCTCAGTCAAGGACATGGACACACACATGAACCTCTACTACGGCCACCTGCAGCGCGACGACGTCGCGGAGTTGTGCGGTGGCGCATCTGGAACAACCCGGCTACTCGTGCGACGAGGACATCGGGGCGGTCCCAACTTCGATCTCATTTGCGATTGCAATTTGATGACGCACGAGGGCCAGAGGCAGTTTTGGGAATATCTGTATCATGGCAAGCCTCTTGTTTTACTCATTAGCACGCCCTGTACGAGCTTGAAGGGGTTTTCGGCGCTCAACAAGGTCATCAACTACGACGGTTGGCTTCGCAGTCGCAAGACATCAGTGGGGCTGGCCCGCATCGCCGCTGCAGCGGCGTGCACTCAGATGGACGCCGGACGCCACTTTGTGTCGGAGCAGCCGTTGGGCAGCGACTTCTACAAGCTCGACGACTGGCAATTCATCGCCAACAACTACGCGCTGGCGTGGTGCCAAGTCGACCAGTGCATGGCCGGCAAGATCGGGCGGCGAACGGGACTACCGATCAAGAAGTCCTCTGAGTTCTGGGCTTCGGACGAGCGCCTGCTCGCCGGACTCAGGAAGTTTCGCTGCGACGGCCAGCGCGATCACGCTTTGCTGGCCCATGGTGGCCGAGGACCCCATCCAGAGCGTGACAAATGGCGACTAGAGAACCCCAAGGATCACGCGGAGTGGGCGATTGGCATCTGCCGGGAGCTGGCGGCGAGCATCTCCCAGATGGTGGAGCGCGTGAGGCATCGGGGACACCACCTCGTGGTGTACGAGTGCTACCCCGCGGCCGCTGTGCAATCCGGACCAGCTGGCTCCTCTGCTTCCTCGGCGTCTGCGGCCGCAGCACCAGCCTCTGGAGCAGCAGCAGCCGCAGCACCAGCCTCGGGAGCAGCAGCAGCCGCAGCATCAGACTCTGGAGCAGCAGCAGCCGCAGCACCAGCTTCAGGAGCAGCAGCAGCGGCATCACCAGCAGCAGCGTCTACAGCAGGAGTACCGCGCGCTGCGCAGCCGTGCGCTGGATGTCGGCATCATCGGCCGGCTGACCACCCAGCCCATGATCGAGGGGAGACATGCAAGCATAGATTTGTGCCGACGAATCGCGACCTGAAGTGCCCGGCTTGCCGGAGTGGTCGCGCGGCCTCAGACACACGACATGCCCGAATACCTGGAGAATGCCGAGCAGACAGTGTTCTCCCAAGAGCAGTTGGACCTCGAGAGCTACGACCGAGACAACCACCAGCCTCCGAGGAGCCGACTGCGAACCAGGCACCGAGCGCCGCGCGAGCCGACGCGCCAGATGCCGAACCTGAACCGCCACTGCCTCCACCTGTGCCTGCGGAGCGTCGACCTCGAGTGGCTCGAGCGACAGCGGCGGCACGGCGACTGCGATCGCGTCTGCCAGCAGCTGGAGAGGCGGAGCCGGACGAGCCATCAGGCGGCGCCTCGGGATCGGCGGACGCCATCGGTGAGGCACCCGTCGCGGAGCAGCCGGCTGCAGCCCCAGCCGCGCCAGCCCGAGGCGTGGATGCGGGGACGCAGGCTCGAGGAAGTGACGAGCCAGGCTGGGCCGCGTTTGACCTCGGGCACGCGCTTCGACTGCTGCACAGCCCGCATCAGGAAGTCGTTCGGCGCCAGCTACGACGACTTCATGTTCGATTTTGGCACGCTCCAGCAGCTCGCCTCAGAGAGATGCTGACCAAGGCCGGCGCTCCTGCATCTACGCTGGCCCTGGTGAAGGAGATCTGCGACACGTGCCGGGTGTGCAGGCTATGGACGAGACCGGGACCGAAGAGCATGACGATCTCTCGGCTCGCGACGGGTTTCAACGAGATGGTGCAGTGGGACATCCTCTACATCGGCGAACAGATGGTGGCACACATGATCGATTTTAGGCGGCCGCTGACGGTGTTGCTTTTTTGTTGTTTGTTCTGTTTTTCTTTTTTTTGTTTTTCGTCATTTGTTTTTTGTTTCTTATTTTTTGTTGTTTGTTTTCATTTTTTTTTTGTTGTTTGTTTTTGTTGATTGTTTTTTTTTTTTCTATTTTTTTATGTTTCTGTTTTGGTATTGTTGTGTACATTTTTTGTTTTGTTAAATTCTTCGAAAAGCAAGACAGCGATCATGATTATCGCCGGCATCACTCAGGGATGGCTACGCCCTCATGGCCCCATGAAGCTGCTGATTGCCGACATCGAGGGCGGTCTCCATGGCGAGGAGGCGTACCAGTGGCTGGACCGCTGGGGCATTGAGATGAAGGCCAAAGAGGAGGGCTCGCACGCGCAGCTGGTGGAACGCCATCACGACCTAGTGCGCAAGATCATACACCGCGTGCAGGCCCAGCTTGCGGAAGAAGGCATTGCGATGCCGTTGGAGATCGTGATCATGGAGTGTGCCCTCATCAAGAGCCTCCTCATCACCGTGGCTGGCTACAGCCCTTACCAGGCGGTGCACGGCCGACTTCCGCCCCTGCTCGCCGAGTTCGAGCCGGTGAGCGACTGCCAGATCGACGACCAATCGGCTGGCATTCCAGGGATCTCCCGACACCATCATCGGCTCCGCGAAGTCGCAATACAAGCCATGGTGGAGATGACCGCGAAGGACAGGCTGAGGCGCGCACTTCGATCCAAGACGCGCGCCCCGCACGAGGCGCTGCAGCTGGTGGTCGGCGACCAGGTTGACTTCCACCGGCCGCCGAGCACGAAGGAGGAGTCGGGATGGCGCGGCCCGGCGACCTTGCTGCAGGTCGGACCTCCAGTGCTCATTCGATGGCAGGGCCGAGTATTTCAAGTGCGACCTCAGGACCTTCGGCGAAGCCTCGTTTACTTCGTGATGTTCACGAATAACATCTTCTTCGAGGCAGGATCGCGCGACCCGGTGGCCACCATCATGAGCTACGCGGACCAGCTGGACAGCAAGGTCGTGCGCGTCGGGTGGCTCTTCGACGCCGGGTGGAAGCGGACCGCGGACAGCCAGAAGCTCAGCGAGTTGGTCCTGGCGGTGTTGCACGTTGCCGCCAGTGGCTTCTACCTGGTGGGGTGCATCGGCGCGCGAGTGGGCAATGGCGTGTCCGTGCTCGAAGGAATGGTCGGATGCGACCACAGCTTCCTGTGGTGGTGGCGGCGCGGACGCCCAGAGCTGTCCTGGTACCACGAGGCGTCGGGATCTGCCCGACTGAAGTTGGCTCCGATATTTGGCAAGGAACACTGGCGGGACGTCAGCTTCGTGCAGTTCATCATGACGGACGACGAGTCCTTTCGCGAACTTCGGCGACGTGAACCCGAGGTTCCGCATCTTGGGGGTCCGTGGTTCGGCAACCTTCCACGCGCACGACGGTATGAACAGCCAGAGCGACCTGAACCCGGACCGTTTCAGGAGCCGCCGGAGCTTCAGGAGGAAGACTTCGACATGACCTGGCAGGACAAGCCGGTATCCGACACGAGCATACCGAGCGCATCTAGACAGACAAGTGCATCAATGCCAGTGCCCGACACGAGCATATCGAGCGCATCCAGGCAGACGAGTGCAGCATCGGATTCGACGAGGAGTCGGAGCAACCGAGGGCAACATCGACCACGAGGGCCTCCCCCTGCTCCGGCCGCTGCCAACAACACCGTGCCGCCTGTGAAGCCGCCTGTGAAGCCAGGCGGGGGAGCTCGAGAGAGATCGCGCTCACGTGATGGCCCGGACCGTGATCATGGAGCCCGAGGTGCAGGCGAGCCAGCGGCGGCAGCTGAGGCTCCTGCACCCCTGCATGAGCCAGTGCTCCCGATCAAAGATGATGGTGGCAAGGGCGACGACGGCGATTCGGATAGCGACGCGACCCAGGAGTACTTGTTCGCGAGCTGGCAGCACCTGAAGGAGCAGGCCGCTCTGCCTGCTATTGACACCGAGTGCGCTCAGAGCGACTTCTTCTTCGCAGCCCCTGACGCAGATCACGTGTCGGAGGCAGTAGAGGATGATTCTTCGAATTCCCGACCCGACTGCGTCGAGATCGGCATAGGTGCGCCGCTCATGTACTGGGTGCACCCTGAGGTGGAGCACATACGACGACCTGGGTCAGGGGAGATCTACATCCTGCGCGTCTACAACACGGGCAAGCGCGAGACTGTCGTCGAGCGTGAGATGAACGTGCTCACGCTGGAAGAGGCCCGAGCTCACGAAGTTGAAGTACGTCAGGCCATGAAGGACGAGCTCCAGCGCTGGGCGGAGTTGAAGGCTTCCAGCGTTTCCCGAAGGACCAGGCGACTAACATCATCGACTCGCGCTGGGTGCTCAAGTGGAAGGAGATCGACGGCAAGAAGCAGGTGCGCGCGAGGCTCACGGTGAGAGGCTTCAAGGACATGCAGTCACCGGAGCTGTCCACTTTTGCGGGTACTACGACACGATGGGGACAACGACTGGTGAATCAGGTGACTGCACAGCGCAAGTGGCGATTATTCTCAGCGGACATCAGCCAGGCGTTCTTGCGCGGTCTCACCTTCGAGCAGGTCGCCGCCATGGACGGCGAGGTCAAGCGGAAGGTACAGTTCACGACGCCGCCGGGATCGATCCCAGTCCTCCGGCAGCTGGAGGGCTACGAGGACTACAACCCTGTGACAGAGGTGTTGTTGCTCCTGCGCTGCGGCTTCGGTCTGAAGGACGCGCCGAGGCTGTGGCAGGTCATGTCGAAGCAAGTGCTGGAGAAGACAGGAGGCAAGGCGCTCATCAGCGACCCGCAGATCTACGTGTACCACGACGCGAAGGTCCAGCTGCAGATGATCATGTCCTCGCACGTGGACGACCTCAAGGGCGGCGGCGAGGACTACCTGCGGGAGAAGGTACTGAGCATGATCGAGAGCGAGTTTGGGAAGTTGAAGCGCCAGTACGACTGCTTTGAGTGCATTGGCATCATGCACGAGCAGGACGCTGTGACCAAGGCCATCTGGACGCATCAGCAGCACTACGTTCAGCAGCTGCGACCGCTCCAGGAAGACCAGTATGTGATGGAGAACGAGGATGGCCAGGTGAGCGTGGAGACCCACGCGGCGTACATGTCGCTGCTCGGGGGGATCGCATGGATGACGCAGACGATGGCGCCCATTGCAGTGTACGTCAGCTATCTCCAGCGGCAGGCCAAGAAGCCGTCGGTCGGAGACATCCGGAAGATCAACAGGCTGCTGAAGTGGATCATGGTGAACTCGAATCAGCTCGGAGTTCGGTTCATCGAGTTGGACATGACACGAGTGCGGTTGGCCGTCGTCAGCGACTCAGCCTTCCACGCCATGGAGTTCGAAGGCTTGGCGATCCGAGGATGTGATCATGTTGCTGGAGTCCGACGACGATGTGCTTCAAACCGGATCGACGTACAGGATCGTGATGCTTGACTGGTACAGCAGAAAGCAGAACAACGTAGTCAGGTCCACCTACGCCGCCGAGCTCATGGCGTTGTTGGACGCACTCGGCACCGGCACCCTCATGAATGTGGCATTGACCGAGATCAGTGAAGGAGTATGCACGGCGAACCAGATGCGAGTGCGGCAGGAGGCCGGCGACCTAGCATTGAAGATGATCGCGGCCATCGACGCGAAGGCAGTGTTCGACGCCGTCTCCGCCGCCACCATCAAGGTGACCACGGACAAGCGTATGTTCGTGCCGACTCTCGCAGTGCGTGAGCAGATCGACCGCCTCCAGCTGGCACAGCTCAGCTGGATCGACACCGTGGACATGCTGGCGGACGGGCTGACGAAGGGCGAGCTCGACCGGACGGCCCTCGTGAAGCTGGGCTTCAGCAGTGAGTGGCGCTTGAGCGGGCTGCAGCCAGTGGCCTTCTCAGTGCGCAGTGTGCTGGAGTGCCGCGCAGAGCGCTCGAATTCCCGACCCGAGTGAAAGGGTGCAAGGGAGAGCGGGAGCGAGCGTTGCCGAACGCCTGCGCCCGCCGCAGCCTTTGGCTTACAGATGAAGACGGGGACCCGCCGAACTGTCGACAGAGAGTGAAGCTATCAGTCAAAGATCAGCACGCCTCCGCATGGTTATGATGACGATCATTTCTCTCGTGCGTGCTGCCTGGCCGTTCGGCCACCAGGAGGAGGAGAGCACCAGAGGTCTTTCGACTTCCTCCGCCTCCTCCTCCTCTTCCTTCTCCTCCTCCTTGTCATTCGATCTTAGGGCGGAGGGGCACCCCCCTCCCGCCGGCGAAGCACTCTGCCAGGGCAGAAGGCGCCAGAATATCTCGACAAGAGTTTTGAGCTTCCTCCTCCTTCTCTTCAACCCCTTTCCTCCTCCTTGTTATCTTGGGCTCATGTGCGCGGAAAGAGGGGAGGCCGAGTTGGACTCCATCTCGAGCAGCATGCGGGGCATGCAGCGGGAGTTGCAGGCAGACCAGGGAGGGAGGGGGGAGGACGAGGAGGGGGGGAGGAGGAGGAGTGATAGGAGTAGGAGTCAAGTGCCCCAGGTCGAGCGAGGAGGAAGAGGGCCCCGCCTACTCCCACCCTCCCTCCCGCAACAGAATAATGCATTGTTGCACAACTTGATCTTGGGATTGGAGCGCGCTTCCACATCACAAACGGAAGGCGCTCGCCAGCGGTCCCGCTTCCGACGACGTGGCGAAGAGAAGACGATGCGGGCCGCGCAGGGGTGGGAGCGGCAATGTTTCAAATGGGCGCGGCGCAGACGAAGCATGCACAGCGCCGCCACAGCATTGCCACCTTTGCCCACCTTTGCCGCCGCCTCACATTTTGCCCCGCGTTTGGGCGAGTTCCGCATTTCGCCGTCTCTCGCGCCGCTCCGCTGCCGCTGTCGCCGCTTCCATGCGATTCGGCGCACGAACCATGCTCCGCGCCCGCGGTTGAACGCAATTCCGGATCCAAATTGGACGAAACTTGGCGAAGGCAACAAATCGCCCATTCGCGCGGTCCCCCAATGACGGGCGAGTGACAGACATGTGCCACGTCGAGGCGGGGACGCCACTTTCAGGCGAAGTCTGCTCGGCGCCGAGGCGAGAGTGGCATGTTCGTCCGCTCGTGCGTCGACGAAAAGGCTTGCGAGTAATGCGCGCTGCGAGGGAGGGATCTGGTTCGGTTCGGATTGCGTTGGGGACAAGGTGGCCAGGTCGCGCCAACTCCACTTGGGGATGCAGCCATCGAGAGTCGGGACAAGATTCCCACTCCTGTTTTAGAGGGGAACGGAACTCGACGAAGCCGGTCAGCAGCACGCGACTATCCCCGCAGGTCTCCGCACGTTCTCCCCCTGGGCACACTTGTTCCTCCTCCTCCTCCTCGTCCTCCTCCTCGTCCTCGGCCTCCTCCTCCTCCTCCTCCTCCTCCTCCTCCTCCTCCTCCTCCTCCTCCTCTTGTTCTCGCAACTCTGGCATCATATGGAGCATTGGAACAATGGAAAGTGCATGGCCCCGTCATCGGAGGTTGGCTGGAGAATGGCCACTAGGGGCAGCGTTGGGAGGGGGTGAGCCTGGTGGGGCGAGGAAGTTCCCTAGAGAACAACAGTAGGAACTTTTCGAGGGTCAGGGTATGAGACTGAATCAAGGGGAGAGGGAGAATGTTAGGTGGGGGATGAAGAGGGAGAGGGGTGAGGTGGAGAGTGAGGAAGGAGGGGGGGCAAGGGAGGGTGGGAGGGGGGGGAGAGGACGGGGCAAGTCATGGTTGGTGTTTTTGCTTTTTTTCGTAGTGTTTCGTAGCTCCTTAAGTGATTTTCTGATGGGAACTAAGCGAAATACGTACCTCACGCCATCCTATCCTCCCTGATCCATCCCACTCCGACTCCTGCGAGTTGTACTTCAATACTCATAAGCTCCTGACACCGAATCATAATAAGGGATCATGCAAGCACCTCTGACCTCCTCTCCTTCTATCCTCCTCCTCGCTACATCATCCTACTAATGTCCCTCCTCTCACCTCACTATTCGTAGAATCTGTCCGCTTTCTCAGATGGGCCGGGGTTAGCGACGTAAGCTCAGAAGGACATAGCAACCGGAAGCAGGAAAAGGGAAGACGAAGAAGAAGAAGAAGCGAGACGGCCTCATCCAACACCATCAATCTCTTAGCCCTCCCCACATTCCTCCCACCACCCCCCCCTCCTCCCCCTCCCCTCCTCCCTTCCTCTCTCTTCCTCTCCCTCACTCCCTTCTCCTCTTTCTCCTACTCGTCATCCTCATACATCGGCCACCCCTTCCTCACTCAGCCCTATCCTCACATACTCCTCATCCTCCTAATCGTCACTCATTCCGACTCCTCATCCCCCTCCTCCTCCTCCTCCTCCTCCTCCTCCTCCTCCTCCGCTTGCACGCTGGTCGTTCAAAGTAGGTACAGTGGGGACCCATGCCAAGAAACATCTTGCTTGTCTCCAGGGTTCCCTGGGTTTTGCGATGGAATGTGATGTTTTTGAGGAGGGGTTGAGGGGAGGGTAGAAACAGGTCTCGATGGTTTTGCGATGGAAAGCGTGACGTGCCCACACCAAAAATAGTGACGTCCTGGGGTATCAGGGTTTGGTTTCTTGTGGAAGGTTCCTTGTGGACTGGCCTCCACTGTATCTCTGGTTTCTCAGATCCAGATTTAACTCAAGCGCCTTCCTACATCAAGAACCGATAGTTTTGTTGCTGTGTTATGTTATTATCTGGGAGGGCCTGAACCCAGTTTACGTCATCCGCCATCCTACTTCATGTTTTATTTGCTTCCGATCGACGTGTACACGCTTGGGCCACCTCCATTATCTTCGCCAGTATTCTACAACTGAGTAATCTACCACAACTGCTTGAGCCTAAGTGTTGAGAATTCCATGGGGCCTCTGGACAGTTATGTGTATGCAGATGGGCAAGCTCACCTTGCTCATGTGCCTGATTTACAGCACTCTCAGGAACGGCCCTGGTATCTGCTGCCCAGCCCAGCAACGTCGTCAGCGGATGTATCATTATTATAGTTATGATTGTCATTGTCGTTAGTGTTAGTATTAGTATCATGATTACTATCAATATTTGCATTCGAATTTGCATTACAATCATTGTTCTCGTGTTCGTTCAACGAAGGGAGAATTATTCTGGAAGCTCAGGAGCGGCAGGCGAGTCAGTCCACAAGAACTGGACCCTGTGAGGGCCGCGACGATCGATCGCACTCCAGATCCGAACCTTCACAGATCGAGCAAAGGCCAGGAATGATGGATAGAAGCCCCCACGGCGTGAGCATCGAGCGGCACGGCGTGGTAATTATATTTAAGTCGGGCACGTCCCTCTACAGGAGGAATATTCAAAAATAATCCAAGACTAGTCCGGGGACGATTTTCCTATCATTTTTTATGCAACTTGTGAGTATTTGTCAAGTAAGCTTGAGATGTCCTTACAAGTCCGCCTGTAGGAGGACATGCCCGACCTACAATTATGTGAAGCATGTGATGCCCCCCCCCCCGAGGTGCGAATGAGCACGCCAAGGAACGCTGTGAACTCGACCCGCGGGCTTCACTGGGCAGCTGTCGGGAGGCTTCCTCCACGTGCGGCATTCGGGCGCGGACGACCATTATCCTCGGATCATCCTCGGGGTCAGGAGCACACAGCCGAGCAATCCACCCTCCCCACACCCACACACACACACACACCAACACACACACACACACACACTTTTCGCGTCGGCGGCTAGGCAGAGTGACTGCGCTGGCGGATGGAGCACATGCAGGGCATTCGATGGCTAATTTCGCCGCAATGCAAGTGATGACGAGAGGGAACGCCTGGCCGGCTCGGGAAGGAGGGAGACAGAGGCCGGGCCCGCTCAGAGCGGGGCCAGGCGGCGGCGGGGCAGCGCCGGGACGGCGGGGCGGCGGCCGCGGGGCAGCTGTGGGGGGGGCGGCAGCCAGAGGCAGCCGCGCGAGGCGGGGGGGAAGCAGGCCCAGGTTATGCTGGGGAGGGGCAGCACAGCAAGGCGGCTGACACACACACACACACACACACACACACACACACACACACACACACGCACGCACGCACGCACGCACGCACACACACACACACACATACACACATACGCACACACATACACACATCGGCGCAGTCGGTCGTCTCGTGCGCGTTCGCCTCCAGAGTCATCCGAGCCCCAGGCTCCCACATTCAGGACTTGCTGCTCCCCGAGGAGGTCGCAAGTCCACAGCCGCAAGGAAAGGGTCATTTTCCATTCATATCACATCCCGAGTTTATCAATCTACCCTCTGGCCAGCATAATCCTGACACGCCTCCTATTCCTCGTTTCCCTCGTCTTCCTCCTGCCCCTCCTCCTCCTCCTACTCCTCCTCCTCCTCCTCCTCCTCCTCCTCCTCCTCCTCTCTACCGAGAACAAAAAAGGCAGGGCGTTGGCGCTTACACTCGTTTCCCCAGGCAGTGCTTGCACTCAGGTGCTCTCGCTTCTGCTCTAAGGAACTGGGCCTGTCGATCGGTCTGACGGCTACGTCGCCGCCGTCGCCGCTCCGTCGCCGCCTGTGATTGGGCCCGTCTGTCGGTCTTGCGGTGATGCTGTCACCGTCGCCGACCCGTCGCAGCTCGTCGCCTCCATTGGATTGCACCACATGGGTTCCTTTGCGTTGCTTTGGATTGCTTTGCATTTATTCGCATTGCGTTGCATCGCTGCGTCCTGCTTTGTATTACGGTGCGTTGCATCGCTCTGCATTGCGTTGCTTTGCGTTGCATTGCTGTACATCGCGTCGTTTTGCGTTGCTTTGCGTTTATTCGCATATCAATGCATTGGTTTGCATTGCTTTGCGCTGCTTCGCATTGATTTGCACTGATTTGCGTTGCTTTGTCTTGGTTTGCGTTACAATTGCTCCACATCGAGTCTCACTTAAAGGAAGACTCATGGTCTACCCCCCCCAGTTTATCCGCCCTCCGTTTGGTATTGCAA